GAGAGCGCAGCCTGGCGGCCCCGAGCCGCCCCCGCAGCCGGGGCTGCGGCTCTCAAGCCCCGCACCGCGCCGAGCCGCGGCGCGCCGTCAGGCATCCCACCGCCCACCCGGCTCTGCCTCCGGCTTGCCCCGCCCGGCCGGAGGCTGCTGCGTGGCCCCGCGGCCATCTGGCCCGTGCTCGGTGGCGGCCCGGAGGCTTCTCCGGGTCAGCGATGCAGCGCGGGGCTTCTGTCCAGGAGCTGCTGCGGGGATGGGGAGAGGCAGAGCATCGCGAACGCTTCGGGATGGGCTGTGCGGGACCGGGCGCTGCTGCGGCGGCTGGTGTAAGTGCTGCTGGTTTATTGTTTAAAGGTATGGGACACCTCGACACCAGCCTCCAAGAGTCTAGAGGACACGAGCGTTCAAAAACCCCTAAAAATGAACCATGGTATTTCCAAAAGGAATGAGGCAGTTGTAGTTGGGGCCCAGTAACACTGCAGAACACAAGAGCCACCAAGAAGTTGTGTCATGCATGGTCACGAGCTTAAGTAATTGCAGTCTTTGAGGCCACATGGAAAACCAGACTATCAAAACCCGGTATGCATGGCACCATCTGGGGGAAAGGATGAAGGCAGAGAGTTTGCCTTGCACATGCCCAGCTCCCTGCCCAAGTCTCACCAGGTTCATTTCAAGCCAAGAAAAAAAGCAAGAAAACCCACAAACAATTCAGCACAGGACACAACTGCTTCGTTCCACTACCCAAGGTTTCCTCCTGCAGCTTCTCCACATCTCCTTCCCAGCTAAAGTTGCTGACAACAACCTTGTGACTAGCTGACCCTCCTACTCAGGTTTCTGTCTTCCCAGTTGCTCCAAAAGCCACACTGACCTTTTGTATGGCCACTTTGTGACCAAGAAGGGGGGAGCTACACATGGGAATGAAGAAGACAAGCAAAAGCACCTGGGAGCAGCAGATCAGAAATGACTTCAAGTAACAGGGAAAAGAGAAGTTGGCGGTCGCAGAAGAAAGGACTGGGAAACTAGCTGCCATCTAACTGGAATAGATTGAGTTCTGCCTTTAAGGCAGAAAAAAAAAGAGTAGAGGAACACACTGTTCTTATTGGCCATTCTTATTGTTCTTATTGGCAACAGGAGACCCCCTATCCTTGTGGGTGACACGCGGAGTGCCTGTAGGAAAGCAGGGCCGTGGCTGTACTTCTAGCTACAGTGAGATTCTGTGAAGGTTTCTTGTCCAAACATAATCTCCTTCCCCAAAGTCTGCACTGTGTGCACAAGAAAAGTGCACACGGTGCATTGAGCCACTCTCCTTACTCCATCAGATAACATCAAGGAATGAAGCGATGCAAGGATGAACCAAGCAAAAAGAAGAAAAGCAGCATATTCTCCCTCACAGAGCCACACTGCTTTCCTGATCTGCCAAGACTTGGGAGCTCTCTTGATCTAAGGAAATAAGCGGGTTTTTTTTAGTATTTGCCAAATGACATCCCAGCTCGCCTTGGACTGTTCCTGTACCCCGCTGTGCATCAGCTGGCAGGTAAACAGTGAAGAGCAGTTTGCCCTGTACACTGTACAGTGGCTGAATTAATGTGCTTCCTAAAGAGCTCAGTGAATTAAGAGCCTGGTGGTCACAGAAAGCATTTCTACCCGGAGTGGACCCAAATGACTCCCTTCTGACTGAAGGTGGTAGAAATAAGAAGTATTTTAATCACCTTCAGGATCTGGTCACCGCAACAGATACTAAGTCATACCTGCATAACACAGTGACACAGCAAGTGACTTTAGCTGCTTCTTGCAGCAACTGAAAGAACAATCTGCTGCAGAAGGATGGAGCAGCCCCAGGGAATAGCAGTCTTCAGATGCACCAGCCAGTCCTCTCACCCTGGCCCCCTCTCCACCTTGCAGCCACTTCCAAAAATAGCTTGCAGATAGTACAGAAAGGACATGGGTGATGCAAAATTGTTCCTGGAACTCTGAATTTCTACTTGAGCTGCCCTTGAGCCTTCTCTAAAGTATTAGACTTATGCCAAACATTTATTTAGCTAGTGCAGCATACTCAGCTGATTGGATGCTAGAGCTATGAGCAGATGTTTTTGCTGTTCCATTGGTCTGTTTTCCCATCAGTGAGTGCAGACCTCCTCCTTGGCACTGATGGAATAGAGGAGGTGGATAGAAGAGGTATGGTCACAATATCCCAAGCACCAGATGCTGGACCGGATGATCTTGAAGGTCTTTTCCAACCTTGGTGATTCTGTGAATCTGTGACTCTGTGATCAGTGACCACTGGAAGGTTCAGCTGTGCTGCATCACTCCCAAGCGCATAGGATCCTTACAGTGGATGGCCAAATGCTTGCCAGGGCTTCACATGCTAGGCTGGGCAAGGACATGGAGAGACAAATGAAACCACTTCCTTTTCTTTTGAAAGAATTATGATAAGTAATGCAATTCTCATGTCTTGGGGAAAAACGTTCTGAAACAAATTTGAAAATAAGGCTTTTTTCCAAGAAGGTCCTTCTATTTTATCTTTTTTTTCCTCCTAACATGGCTCTAAAAGAATCCAATGGGGATGCAGTTGGGTTCAAGAGCACTGTTAGGTGCCAACTCTTACATCACTTTTGCTGTCTCCCAGCTTGTTATTGGATTATCTATTGTCAGATAGGAATTTATTGAAGGTGACATTGCTTATAAATTGATCAAAATCAGCTTCAGTGAAGTGTCCTTCCAAGACATAAAGAGATGGATAAAATTTACTCCGTTGATCATTAATAACTTCAGAGACTGTGGAATTGGTTATCTCCTTTTGACAGAGGAAATGGAGTTTGCAGATTGACCTGTTTTAATCCTACCTGAAAAGAAATATGACAGACCTTCACAGACACACCCAATTAACCGCCTTCATATTTTTTCAATAAAAAACAGAAAGCAGTTAAAACAAAAACTTAGCTCCACAAAATCTACAACATGCTCTCCTCCCTTCTTGCTTCCCTCCCAGAGACCCTGTATGTCTACAGAACCAAAGCATGTCATTCAACGTAACATTTTAAGGTTCTTCATCTCCCTCTCACCCCGTTCCCTCAAACCAAGTCCACAAAGACGTGTTTGGAATAAATTTCTCCCTAAGACTTCAGCTAGATCTTTTCCTTGGACGTGCAGCTCTTGCTGTGGTTAATGACTGCCCATTGCCTCTTGTCAGACATGCTGCAACCCCTGTTAGCAAATGGCGGATTCTGCATCCTCATAAAAGCATTTCATAATGCTGCCATTTACATAATAACTTTCTAAATTGTACACCGACAGACTTCCCCAAATCATTACAGTAGGTGAATTAAATCTTCCACTAAACACCAGCAAATGGTGGTAATGACAAGTCTTCTAAGCAGCATGCCCCATAAAGCTCAGAAAATGAAAATCAATCACTCTTCCATTTTTTTTTCCAGAACTGCTGAAAGAATTTATTACACACAGCTGTGACAGAAAATAAATAGATGGCAAAACTGAGAAGAAATACATTGAAGTTTAGGACTCATGTGGACATATTCTTGCAGTTGTGATACAAAGTGGATCTTAGACAGAGAGCCTTGTTGAGTAGCAGCGTTGCCGCAGCTGTGATGGTCTGAAGATATGTGAGGCTCAATAACTTCTATAGAGAAGCAATAACTTTTACTAGAAGAGCTGATGTAGCTGGAAAACAGCAGTATGCTTCTGGGCACACTGACCTGAAGAAGGGCTTCTATGCTTGAAAACTCATCTTTACTGTGCTTTTTTCTTTTTTTTCCTTATTGCATCCACTGGTCTAATAAAATATACTGCGGCTTCCTACAGTTCTTAACTGCTTGATGTTCATTGGCAAATAGTAGCTGTACAAAACATCTTTTCAGTCCCTTACTTGCTTTTCCTTGTATGGGGACTAAAAATGAATAGAGCGCCCTGGGAAAAAAAAAGAGGCTGAACTGTCTGTGCCAGTGAATTTACGGCCCGCTGTTCTTCATCCTGGGTTTGCTCATGGTGGCTTTATCGGTAACATATCGGATTAGAAATTACTTTTACAAGTTATCTAGAGAAGCCAGATGTACCTGAGGAAATGTGGAAAACCCAAAGGCATACAGCACTGTCTGCCAAGCCCACAGAGTGCTGCAGGTATCCCTGTGGCATCCTCACTGCTGCTCCTGGTTCAGGATGGTTGCTTGGCTCCGGAGTATGATCTTGTCTGTACCACTCTGCAGCTGAGCTACACCATAGCTGTTGTTGTACCAAGGCATGACACAACTCAGCCATTTAGTACCCACGGTGCAATGTATTCATACGTAAATAGGTGGCCCGTGTGGCAATGAGGGGTTATGCACTATTGGTTGAAAGGTTGATTTAGGCTGAGTTCCCCTGGTGGAAGGGGTTTTCCACATACAAAATATGATGCCACTTATCCCTGTCATATCAAAATCAGTTAATTCTGGGGAGAATGCACCTTACTGCTTCCATGTGACAAATGCTAAAGATCTTATGGGTCTGCCTTGATCCCCCAGCAAAGGGAGCCAATCACATCCCAAGGGCAACCCCTCCAAAATCCAGGGAACAACGTGGGAACAAACCAAACCTTCTCTTTTAGAAGCAACATAAAAATAAAGCAATGTGAGATGAAACTATAAGCTTTCATTTCTACACCGGTTGCCGGTTAACACCTCTGGCTGCCCATGCTCAGCTTCGGATTCATGAAACCTCTCCTCTCAGTGGCATTTGCTGTGGTGGGAGGAAGCTGTCCTGA